GGTTTGGGGGAGAAAAATTCCAGGAGAAAAGAAATGGAATAGAATAGAAGGCATGAGAAAAACTACACTGGGAAAGAAAATGAAGAATATGATCACAGCAGATGAGGGAAAAAAAACAAACAAAACCAAAAAACCATTAAAAAAATTTTTTTTACAAAGGTTATGATCCAACTCTGAAGCAAACTAAAACATGATATTATGTATAAGTAAGCAAGCGGTGAAGTATAGAGAGAGACAGAATCCGGTTGACCTTTGTTGGGCCAAGAGGCTTGTGGCACCGGACCTCCCCAAAAGGAAGAGTAACGCTAACCCTTCCTCAGTTGGGTGTTGGACAATACTTACACAGCCCCAGCAGACCCTTCCTTGGTTTTCACATGTTAGAGTCCACCTATGGACAAGCATGGAGGACTTGTCTGTGGCTGAGGGGCAGACTATAAGCATCATCCAGTGTGACTACGTGAAAGGGTAGGAGACACTCAAAGATGGCGTATGAGATAGGGGGATGGACAGGACATCATCTGGATTCTTCGTGCTTTTCCTGAGAAACGTTCTACTGAAACTTATCCTGAATCCTTTGCATGGAAAGAGACTGAAAGGCCTTACATGGCCTCCCACAGGAAAACTTTAAAAACAAGGTTTTCAGAAAACCCACAGGAAAACTTTAAAAACAAGGTTTTCGCTGCTTTAGCATATGCTTCTTAATCAACTTGCTGACTGTACCCTCTAGATACAACAGACCCATATTATTGGCGGGTGAAAGAAAAAGAAAAGAGATACATTTGTACTGGATGCTTCCATTTGCAAGTGGAAGATTTACCTGAGCACCTGGTCCACCTCGGCCTGGTTGGAGGGGGCTATGCCCCGAAGCTCCTCCGTGATGGTTTTGTTGACCCACTGCACAGCAGTGCTGACGGCCTCAGACCTTTCCACTTCCTCGGCCTCAGCCTGCTCGGGTAAAGCGTTCTCATGGACTTCAAAGTGCGTTGAGATCACCACTGAACATATGTTCTGAAAATAATATGAGCGTGTTCTACGTTTTCCCTACCTTTTGCAGAAAGGAAGAAATTGAACGTATCCAGCTTTTAATGTGCATGATATTTTATCACCAGTTGCAAAGGGAAAATGAGAATATATAATTTTCTTTGAGATATTTTTATAACTGTTGAAACAGTGTGGAACCCAACTTCAAGGAGCATTTAAAATTATTACCTGGTTAATGTACACTTATAAAAACCTTACACTGAACTTCATTTTTATCACTACCTGTCCAGGAAATAACTAAAAGGATACAGATTTTAATCATAATTATTTTCCTCCCAGAGACTGTAGTAAAATTATTTCTAACAAATATGTAGCAATTCAGATGAATTATTAAAATTACTAAAATGAATTTGTCTTTATGTAGTTTGGCCTACATATCTACGAATCTATGTAAATCCATATAAAAACGTTATGAATAAACATCCCTGTAGATTTACAGAACTTACCACCTTAAAAATGTCAGAGTTTTAAAACTATTTTTGCCCCACGTCTCCATCTTGGGTCATCTTCAGGCTAGCAGGTCATGTCTGTACCAATAGGACACTTAAACATAATAAAGCCATCCTGTTTGACTGCATGGTTCCTGCTTTATGTACATAACTACCTACAAATTGTGTGTGTATATTTCACAAACGCTGAACTTCAAAACATTAATTTTCTACAATTTAGACAATAAATGCTAATAAATGCAGTGGCGTCAGGACACAGTGAAGAATACATTTAAGCTGCTTCGTACCTTGGGGAAGTTTTGAATGGTGCAGAATATTTCCACTTGTAGGGTTGGAAGCCCCAGTCCATCCAATACGTTTCTCCCCACTACTTTGCATATGGTGGGAGGCTTTGCGAGTTTAGAGAAACAGTTTGCCTTCGACACACACACAAAAAAACAAAGATGACAACACCATAACTAATTTGTCTTTAAAAGGTCATTCGCATTTACTCTAGTTTCTACTAAACTTCTCCCTCAGTGTCCTCCTCTTGCGGGGATCAGGCTAGCAGCTCTGTGGGAACTGCCCCGGCCTCATGAGCTGAAATTTGGATTAGCCTGATGCCCAGTCTTTGGTACATGGAGTGATTTGTTCTCTTTTAAAAATATTTACTTATCTATCTATTTATTTATTAATTTTTAAATTTACATCCAAAGTTGATATGTAGTGTAATAATGATTTCAGGAATAGAATTTAGTGATTTATCACTTACATACAACACCCAGTGATGATACCAACAAGTGTCTTCCTTAATGCCCCTTGCCCATTTAGCCCATCCCCCACCCACAACCCCTACAGCAACCCTCAGTGTGTTCTCTGTATTTAAGTGTCTCTTGTGGTTCGTCTCCCTCTCTGTTTTTACATTATTTTTGCTTCCCTTCCCCTAAGTTCATCTGTTTTGTATCTTGAATTCCACATATGAGTGAAGTCATGTGATATTTGTCTATCTCTGACTGACTTCCCTTAGCACAATACCCTCTAGTTCCATCCATGTTGTTGTAAATGGCAAGATTTCATTCTTTTGATTGCTGCGTAATATTCTATTGTGTACCACAACTTCTTTATCCATTCATTAGTCGATAGACATCTGGGCTCTTTCCGTACTTTGGCTATTGTCAATAATGCTGCTATAAACATTAGGGTGCATGTACCCCTTCAAAACAGCACGCCTGTATCCTTTGGATATATACCTAGTACTGCAATTGCTGGGTCATAGGTAATTCTATTTTTAATTTTTTGAGGAAACTCCATACTGTTTTCCAGAGTAGCTGCACCGGTTTGCATTCCCACTAGCAGTGCAAAAGGGTTCCTCTTTCTCTGCATCCTTGCCAATATCTGTTGTTGCCTGAGTTGTTAATTTTAGCTATTCTGACAGGGGTGAGGTAGCATCTCATTGTGGTTTTGATTTGTATTTCCCTGATGATCAATGGTGTTGAGAATTTTTTCATGTGTTTGTTAGCCATCTGGATGTCTTCTTTGGAAAAGTGTCTATTCATGTCTTTTGCCCCTTTCTTCACTGGATTATTTGTTTTTGGGTGTGTGTGTGTTTTTGATAAGTTCTTTATAGATTTTGAATACAAATCCTTTATCTGTCATTTGCAAATATCTTCTCCCATTCTGTCAGTTGCCTTTTAGTTTTGCTGCTTATTTCCTTCCCTGAGCAGAAGCTTTTTATCTTGATGAGGTCTCAAGAGTTCATTTTTGTTTTTGTTTCCCTTGGCTCTAGAGACATGTCAAGTAAGAAGTTGCTGTGGCCAAGGTCAAAGAGGTTGTTGCCTGTTTTCTCCTCTAGGATTCTGATGGCCTCCTGTTTTGTTTAGGTCTTTCATCCATTTTGAGTTTATTGTTGTGTATGGTATTAGAAAGTGGTCCAGGTTCATTCTTCTGCATGTCACTGTCCAGTTTTCCCAACACCATTTGCTGAAGAGACTATCTTTGTTTCATTGGATATTCTTTCCTGCTTTGTCAAAGATTAGTCGGCCATATGTTTGTGGGTCCATTTCTGGGTTTTCTATTCTGTTCCATTGATCTATGTGTCTGTTTTTGTGCCAGTACCATACTGTCTTGATGATTACAGCTTTGTAATACATCCTGAAGTCCGGAATTGTGATGCCTCCAGCTTTGGTTTTCTTTTCCAGGAGTCCTTTGGCTATTTGGGGTCTTTTCTGGTTCCATACAAATTTCGGGATTATTTATTCTAGCTCTGTGAAGAACGCTGGTGTTATTTTGGTAGGGATTGCTGTTCTCTTTTGAACTCTCAGCAGAAACTCACATACATTTATTTCTTTTTTTTTAATAAAGCATGAATTTATTTGCAATCAAAATGAAACATCATTTTAACTTTTAAAAAAGGAAACCAAGTCTTTTATTCTTATACTTAAAAGTCAGTTTTAAATGACATAAACCCACAATATAATTTTAGAAATCAAATAAACTTCCCCATTTCAAAGAACAGTATCTAACAAAATGTAAAACTTTTAAAAGCATTTACAACATATATTTATAGGTTTGGTTGTTTTTTTAAAAAAAGAATATATCACTGCTTTGGCCACTGTTTTAACTGCTTTACCCAAATTATTTGTGCCTAATAACAACCCTACGGGATCAGTACTATTTTTGCTATCTCCACTCTATACATGGGGAAACTGAGTAGAAAGAGATTAAATGTTTTCCCCACGAGTTCAAAATAACTGTCTGAGCTGAGATTCACATCGAGGCAGGCTGATTCCAGAATCCACGTCAACTGCTATTGATGGGGGAAGGGAGAAGGGCACAAAGTCTACTTTCAAATGCATAGCATTTTGGGAAAAAAAAAACTAAGCCCGAGGAATGTGGTGATACACTCCCTATTTTTATGTCAGGAATATGAGGCCCCCACTAACTCTGGCCATTCCAGACGCGGATAATCTTCTACCTGCCATGTTGGCTTCCATTTCTGGTTTGGTGATGGTGCCTCAGAGTGAAATATGTACATACATATGAATTTAAGGGAGGAGAAAAATAAACAAACAAAAACTAACTCAGGATTGGAGTCTTAGCCAAATTAATTCACACTGAAATAAAGAGATTTGTTTTAATTAGATGATTCCAGCTACGCAACGGAGGAGGATAGTTGTTTGAAAATTATTACTTAGTTTCTCCAAAGAGGCTCCTTTTGGGAAACAGACTGTTAGTCAAACATGACACACTTTGGAATTTTTTCACGTACGTTTCTTAAAGACCCCATGTCACTCTTTAGCAGGCCCTCACCTATCCTTCTGTCCAAGATACCAAAGTCAGTTGGTCTCTAGAATGCTGTGATGCAAACAGGAAAACTTCTGTGGGCCAGTTTTTATTCCTCTCAGCAAGGCATCTGATATTTTAGTGGTGAAGACTTCTGCAGAGGCTGTATTTCGCCACCAGTTCACGTGTTCAAAGAGGGTTGTCAGAACCCTAGTAACAGCAGTTTCATTGACGTGGAAAAGCAGAAGCCATTTGGAAGTGATCCAAGAAAGAGGCGGAAGAGAATGAAGCTGAGGCCGAAAGCCACTCGAATCGCCTGAGTAAAAAGATACAAGATGGTGTTTCTACACAGAGGAGTAGGAGCTGGGAGAGAAGGAAGAAGGGAAGGTGAAGGTACACTCTCCTCAACCTCTTTATCATCAGATTGTATTGGGTTCTTTATCTGCATTCACCGCAGACCAGGCCTCTTTCGGTTTGAAATCCAACGACCTCGGGGCGCCTGGGTGGCGCAGTCGGTTAAGCGTCCGACTTCAGCCAGGTCACGATCTCGCGGTCCGTGAGTTCGAGCCCCGCATCAGGCTCTGGGCTGATGGCTTAGGGCCTGGAGCCTGTTTCCGATTCTGTGTCTCCCTCTCTCTCTGCCCCTCCCCCGTTCATGCTCTGTCTCTCTCTGTCCCAAAAATAAATAAAAAATGTTGAAAAAAAATTAAAAAAAAAAAAAAAAGAAATCCAACGACCTCAACCTACGTAGCAGGTCATCTAGTACCCATCAGCGATGTGCCAGCTCGCAGGTGGGGCCCCAGCACTGCTAAAGCGAAAGTCAATTTTCAAGCCATCCCTATACTTTAAGGACTGTGGTTTGGATGTTACAAAGCAGGTGCCTAAATGAATTGAGACAGAATCAGGAGACAAAAATATTATTTAGCTTATCCATTGTGTACTGTAGTGAATTTGATGCAACTAGCAAGGAGCATCCACAACGTATAATGTTATGTCAGGAGGGAAAAGGAACTAACATTCTTAAGTGTTTAATATGTGCCTTGAGGGAGTGATTGTGCCTTATCACTGTGTCACACCACAGTGCCTGGCAGATTTAGGATTCCACAAATTAAATCTTGTATAAACAAATATGTGTCAGATACACCCCTGGAAACTTTGTATACATTATGTCATTAAATTCTCAAAACAACTCTGTAAGGGAAATCCTATCATCTCCATTCCACAGATGGGCAAACTGAATTCCAGAGAAATAAATTATACCGGGTAAAACGACCAATGTTTTAATTATTTACTGCTAAGTAACAGACTGCTCCAAAACTTAGTGGCTAAAGCCATTTATTCACCCATGACTCTACAAATCTGGCCTGGGCTCAATTGGGTAATTCTTTTGGCTGATCTTGCCTGGAGTCTCCTATTCAGACTCAGTCATCTGGAAGCTTGACTGGGTCCAGAGCATCCAAGATGATTCAACTCATGTGTCTAGGGTCTCAACCAGGATGCTTAGAACATCCTAGGGGCTGGCCGGGCATGTCTTTCTTACAGGATATCCTGGAGGTGTTACATCGGTGAGCCTATCTACCTGATCTCTCTCTCCAGCAGGGTAATTGGACTTCCTGGATAACTACTCCAAGAGGGAGTGTTCCAGGAGTACAGCCTCAAAATGGCAGCACTTACCATGTCTTTGTCTGCATCATGCTTGGTGAGGTGCTATTAATTAACCAAAGCAAGTCACATGGCCAAGTCCCAAGTCAGTGTGGGAGAGATTTACATAAGACCAGTCACACTGGTGGTATGGTTCATTGGGGAACATCAATATGATAGTTCTACTAAGTGGCAGGGCTAAGAATTAAATCAGATCCGCAATCAGATCAGATGAATCACAAACTCTTTCAATCAGGACTTCTATGGTGAGGGACTAAATAGTGTTGTATTGCTATTGCCCACAAGCATCTTCCTCATTGCTTCAATTCCTCTAGTATATAACAGAAGCAGAGAAGAAATGGCATTGGAGCTGAACATTGGGGAATATGTAGTATTTCCACTGGCAGACGAGAAGAAGTCAAGGGAAGATACTTCAGGTAGAGGGAGCAGGAGAAGCCAAGGGGAGGGAAGTGAGGAACTTTAGGCTTCAGGGAATAGTAAGGAGCCACAGGGGGTTTCTGAGCAAGAGACTGTTGGTCAGATTTAAGATGAGGAACGCTGCTCTGGGGGCACCTGACTGGCTCAGTTGGTGAAGTGTGTTGACTCTTGATCTTGGGGTTGTGAGTTTGAGCCCCACGTTGGGTGTAGAGATTACTTAAAAATTTAAAAAAAAACAAACCTTTTTTTTTTTTTTTTTTTAAGGAGCATTGCTTTGGCAGCACGATTTGGGTTGAACTCAATAGAGGGAGAGACTAGATGAAAATAAGGATGGCCAAAACCAGGGCAGCAGCAAAAAAAAAAAAAAAAAAAAAAAAATTATCTTTTTGCCAGTCCAATTCTTGAACTTGCTTCAAAGTCCAAGCCCAAATTTTCTCAGATGCTACAGCCTACAGGGACCTTCCCTAACCCTGAATTCCTTTGATAGGCATGCAGTGATGTGTCCCTCAGTCTAGCACACAATCATGTATCACCTTATCTAGTACTCCAGTTATTTTATGTATCAGTGGCTTTTATCCATAACCAAGGTATAAGTTCCCAGAGAGCCATACAAACTGAAGTCCTGGCTGCCTAGTAGACTGGGAAGAACATTAACGCCGAGGAACCAGAGTCCAAATCTCCAGTCTTAACTTTTGCACCAAGTAGCTGTGAGACAAGAGCTTGGTGTCTTTGTGAAATGAAGAAGTTAGACTAGTTAACTTCCAAGAATTCCTCTAGCAAGAGACAGTGGAAAGAGAATGGAATTCAGAGTCGCATTCGTTCATTTGTGTCACGTTAGTGCTTGAGTGTCCACTATTTCCATGGAATCCCGAGGTACTACGGACACAAACCTGGTCTGATTCGTCACTGTCATTCACTGTGTCCCTTGGGAAAATCATCTAAATTCACTGGGCCACAGTCTCCTTATTTGTAAAACGAAATCACAATTTTTACCTCCTAGTGGTCCTAAAGATTGAGCAACAAATCACATAGCACAAAGAGCTCAGCACTGCCCTCCCCCAACATACAGCTTTCACCTGTAGGCCACGATTGAGTAAAATAAACATTCATGGAACATCCTCCATACCAACTGCCTCAACAAGATGTTGTTTTGAACCCTGTAAACACACTGTGCTTCTTTATTGCATTTACATATGCTGCTGTCATATTGCCTCACCTTAGTGCAAACTCCTATCAGTTCCAACCACACTGCCTTCCAGAAGGTAGGTGGCTAGTACTTAACGGATCTAGAAGTGAGAAAACGCTTGTTTCAACTGCTCATTGCTTAAGCCTAAGGTACATGCCTGCTCTTATGCTGGGCATAGGGACTAGGGAGGTGGTAGGAAAAGGCCCCTGCTTTCCATGGAGCTCAAAAGCCTATGGAGGGCCTCATTACGGACAGGAAATGATTTAGGAACACTCAAGGACAATCAGTCCAGGTGAAGTGGGCAAGACTGATGTGAATTTGGAGTTTGGGTAGGAGCTGGTCAGATGGGGTGGGGCATCCAGGAAGAGTGCACCCTGCAAGGTACGTACGCTTGAAATCAGAGTGCGACTCGGCAGTAATGAGCGGGCTGGGCATGAGGCCATCGGGTAGGCTGAGGCCAAGCTGTGGCAAACGCCAGGGAGCTCACCCGTGGTCAAACGGAGGCCGCTGCAGGCTGCAAGCTGAGCTATGCGGTGTTAAGGTCTGTGTTTAAAGAGAACTGGCAACCGCGCAGGGCGGCTCAGAAGCCTGCCGGGCCCGAGCTGTCGCCTTAGCCACGAATGCGCCTACACCGCACTTTCCTCTAACTGCTTCCTGTCCACCACTTTCTCGAGATTCCTCCTGCCCAGGTTTCCGCACCGCTTCTCCCTTGGGGGTCGCCTCCCCGCACGACCACGGACCTCAAGCCTGTGGCGGCGGCGCGCGTGCGCGACTCTGCGGCGCAGGCGCACGGCGTTGCCGCAGCGCGGGGCGGGGGGAGAGGGGCTGGAGGGAAGAGGGTGTTAGTCCCAGGTCCCTACCAGGTGCCCGTAGACGTCGGCAGGCTGGAGGTAGAAGGTGGAGTTGAGCAGCTCTTCCAGCCTGCGCGGGACGTCGTTCTCCCGGTAGTACTCCATCGCCTGCTGCTTCAGCTTCTGCAGCTCCCTAGTGGTCCCACAGCTGCGGCCGCCGCCTTCTTCCCCCATGGTAGGAGATTTGAGGCTACAGCTGGGGTTAGCCTGGGGGCCCGCGAGCGTCCTGTGCGTCGCTAGGCAACGCAATGAGATTTCCCGACCCCAGATCTCGCGTGGCTTCTCGCCCGGGTTCTTGCCGCGGTCTTAGGTGCGCATGGCTCCTCCCGTGCTCCTCCCTCCTCTTCCTGAGGGATTGGGCCTGGGGCTAGGGCTCCTCCACTCCTGACGCTCGAGCAGTGGCGGCGTCGTTTCCCACCACTTTCCCCGACACTTTTCCTGATGGGGAAAGAGTTCACGATTTCTGCGGAGGCGTGGGAGCGTTAGTCCCGGCCTCCAGCGGGGGACCGGAGCCTCGGGTGGCGCGCTCTGGGCACCTGGCCTTCTTGCTTACCCTTCGCCCCCCCCCCCCCCCCCGCACACTCCCTCGTCCCTCGCGGTGGGTGAGCTCCTCCGGGTGGCGCGGGCACACCTTGCCAGCCCACTCCTGGGGACGGATATATCCTCGCTGGCCCGTGGAGGTGCCAGGAATTCATTCATTCGCCCGTATTTAGCCGCCTGTCCCGAGGCCAGCAGCGTGCTGGCCGGGCACACTGGTGCGCAGGAGAGAACCGGATACGCGATCCCACCCCCTGTCCCCCTGCCCCTCCGCTGGGAAATGAGTGGGGTGAAATCACTGGAAGGGAAAACCAGTGTGGGCCGAAAAAAATCGGGGTAAACCCCGAATGGTTATGGCTTGGACAGGCCTAGGGGTGGGGAACGATACAGGCAAAACTTGAGAAGGAAAAGTGGGACTGTAAGACTGGCACTGGGTCACATACCTTCTCCAGTACCTTCAGAGGCTGTCTCAGTCCTGCCCTTTTATTTTTTTTTAATTTTTTTTCAACGTTTTATTTATTTTTTTGGGACAGAGAGAGACAGAGCATGAACGGGGGAGGGGCAGAGAGAGAGGGAGACACAGAATCGGAAACAGGCTCCAGGCTCTGAGCCATCAGCCCAGAGCCCGACGCGGGGCTCGAACCCCCGGACCGCGAGATCGTGACCTGGCTGAAGTCGGACGCCTAACCGACTGCGCCACCCAGGCGCCCCGGTCCTGCCCTTTTAAATCCAACTGCCTACTTGGCTTCCTTACACCTGCCGGGTGTCAGTGCAATTATAGAACTTCTTGTGCCTTCTGCTCTAGGTACTTAGGTGGGAGTGGGCCGACACGGGCAGGTGTTCTTGTTCTACTCTTAACCTATAAGTGTTCCTGACTTAAGTAGATCGCTTAAAACATCTCTGTTGTATTTGGCTTTTCTGGAAAACAGTCCGGTCTATTCTGCCTTCTTCACAAGTCCCTTAGGATAAAATGAGAAAGTGAGTGAGAAAACACTTTAAAATAAGTTATTTTCAATAGAGGCAGGTAGATGTATAAAAATATGTGATTCTATAAAACTGATACAGAAACCCAGACATGTACCTCCTTCTGAGCTCCCTCAGTGTTGTCTCCAAATCTCAGATGGAACATCTCACTTGCTGGGATGTGACATCATCATGGGCCTGCCTTATCCTCCTTGCTAGATGGAAATCCCTTCATGGTAGGAGCCTGGTCTGAGTACTCTTCACATGCCCCTTAAAACCCCGGGCCTGCAGGGACAGAACGTGTGCTCTGCTGAATAGGTGTTGAATGAACCTTTATACGAAATAAGCCCGTGCTCTTGCTGCTGGTGTTTCCATCCCACCCGTGCGCCTCTCCTCCTATCCCCATGGATGGAAGGCACCCCTTTCTCTGGGACGCTCAGCCTTCAATGCCCGGCTGAGTCCCACCTCTGCAGAGAAGCCATGCTTCATACCAGCAGTCCTCACTCACTCAGCCTTTCCTTTCTTCTGAACTCCTTCTCCACTTGCAGCCTGGGCCACAAAGCTCAGCCTTCAGGGATGTCTTGACTCATTTGACACTTAAATGGAAGGTTGGAAGTGCCCTGGGCTGGGACCACCACCTTTGGAGTCTCCCCTCTGTAACCCACCAGCCTCTAGATTCCATGAGGACAGAGACTTGGTCTGTCTTGTTCACCATGGTGTCCCCAGTACATTACTTTACAGGTCTTTGCTCAGTAAATAGGTGTTGAGTGAATGAGTGGATTTTACATATAATAAATGCCTAATAAATACTTAAAATGTTTTGGAGTTGAGTGAATAATGAATACACTAGGCTGGCTAGAGCAAAGGATTGTTTTCAGTAATAAAGAGACATCAGGATAGAAAAGCAGCATGGGCAGGATGGAAATGGTGTTGTAGGAAGTTAGCTGGCAGCAATGGGTAAGCTTGGTGTTAGTTGTACAGAAAGCAGGAGACACAGGTAGAAAATGATGCAGATGTGAGGGCCTAAAGCCCACTGATAGCACTGGCAAGAGGTGGATGACAGAGTTAATAGGAAGAAGGATGGGAATCATGGTGAGTGACTGGATGTGGGATTGGGGGACCAAAGATTATGCCTTTGAGGATGGCTCCTAGAGTTCTGTTACAGTTGATAGAAATGGGGTGGATGAGTGAGTGATGTGGTTTTGATGGAAGGAATAGGATGCATCTGGTTTTAGATGTGTGGAGCTTGTGGAGCATTGGTATCGCAGAGAGAAGGGAAGACTGACGATATGAAGATCACCCATCCACATGGTACTTAAAGTTGAAATAAGGATAGATGAATCTTCTGGAGGGAAAAGGGAAAACTCCTATAGAAGCAAGGACCTAAATATTGGGGAAGAAATATATTTAGGACATAGGAGGAGGATAAGGTGCTCTAAGAGGCAGTGAGCCAAAAAAGAAAAAAAAAAAAAGCTTAGAAAAAAAAAAACAATCTAAATCATGGAGTTTAAGACAGAGAGTTTTTGGAATGTGTCAGATGTGCATGTGTACATAGGCATAAGAATAAATTCTGAAAGAATATACATTGGCATATTAAGTGTATTGTCTTTGGGTAATGGGATCATTGGGAATGTTAATTTTCTTTATTAGTAGTATCTGATTTTTCTAAAATGAATGTACTACTTGTATAACTTTGAAAATTTACATTAAGATATTTGAAGGAATAACATTAAGTCAAATTAAAGACTGAAATTAAAGGAGAATGAAAGACTGAAAAGATATTAGGGAGTCAGTTGTTCCTTTATAGAATCTTGCCATCCTCTTAAAAATAAAACTACACGTAGGCTAAATAAATAGCCCAAACTACCATCCCTGTTAACTTCTGTCATTCACTCAATCAATAAATATTTATTGAATGCCTACCATGTGGCAGAGACTAGACACTAGGAAAACAGCAGTGAACAAAATAGGTAACATTTCTTCCCTTCACGGCACTTAAGTTCTCGTGGGCCTTGATCCTAGCACTTACATCCTGCTGAGCCATCAGGACAATAAACTGCATTAAGAGACGTGAAAGCATTTTGAAAAGTTGGTATGCTAGGCGTTTATTAACATTCTATTAGTGTTGACAGATCCAGAGTAAATAAAATGACTATTCATGAATATTCCAATTTTCTGATTTTTTATAGATGTTAGAAGTACTGGGGTTTTAGCTGTAAACTACATTCACGTGTATGCGCATTGTATACATACTTATCACATTCCTTGTTTTAGTACCTTGGTAACCATATTTCCATTTCATATTGAGACTAAATGTCCAAGGGCACTCAGAGAACATCAGAGCTTGAAAGGCATTGAGTGCAGCTAACTCTAAGGGTAAAAACAGGGGAGTTGAAAGGAGGAAAAGAAGGGGAGGAAAGGGAAAGGAAAGACTCAGGAGATAAGGAAAATTCTGGAAGATATCCAGGGACAGAGGGTAGGACTATACCCTCTTCCTTTAGAGAGAGGACACCGCCATGACTATTGACATCCCACAGATGGGGTGCCCGCAGTGGATGGGTGTGGTAGGGGACAAGGGACATTTGGGAATTAGAAGACAGATTGGAGTCCCAGCTGTCCCCAAGATCTAGACCTCATCAATAAAATGAGTGGCTGGTCTAGATCAGTGTTGCCTAAACTTTTTGAGTATGAAGACTCCTTTTTAACAACCAAAAAAATGGAAGAAACAACCCCCCCCCCCCCCATGTAACAGTGGTTATATACAGTGACTATGAATTCAATAGTATGTCTGGAGCATATGTGTTTCATTCACGTAACCTCCATACATGTGACAAAGAATACATTTATAGGCAAGCTGCTCTCCAGGTCGGGCATGTGTCTGGTGCATATTTGGAATCGTGAGCTCTTTGCCTATAGTATGGGGGCTTCTCGGGGACCTTGACTGAGAGCCATTGAGTCAGGTCTCTTCATCTTAGACGTCTCCTATTTTGTAGCTTTGATTCGAGATAAAATATCAGGGCATACCAGTCTAGTCCTATCTGCTAAATGAAGACCCTTCATGGAGGAGATTAATCATGCTTCAGTCTGCATTTGAAAAAGAATTTCTAAGCTATGTCAGACATTTCCTAAATGAATGAGGATAAAGAAAAACATTTGTTCATTTCCCCCTAATCCTTTCTAACACCTTTCTATAAATTGGAACTTGTTTGCCATGACTTTCATGTTCAGAAGTGATTATTTAGGTGTTATTTTGGGGTTGCTATCAAGTCCTGTTAATTCTTGCCTGCATTTGCCATCTGTGTTGAATATCATTTTTCATAGGGAACTAATGAACATGATTGCAGGTGTCTTTAATCTTTAGAATCCTAGAAACTGGAGAGAGAATAGATGGAAATGTTGCCTTTTCCCCATCTAAAGATGGGAGTGATAATGTTACCCCTCCTGGCCCAGTTGTCAGGAATGAGGGTTGCCAAGCTAATTGCAATATAAATAGCTGTAAATTAAATGCGAAGGAATAAAAGTAGGAATGATTAGACTAATAATAAAATGTTTTTGTAATTTGATTTTTTTCACTACCAATGTCTCCTGGCAATAGTCATTACCTCTGGGCTAGTAATAGCAACAAAAACCCGGGCAGCAACTACCATTGATGGAGAACTTTTATATGCCTGAGGT